AACATCTTTCTGAAAAGTTGATCAATTTTAAATCTATTCCTACCCGATGGTTGTCTTACCTACTGTTGACCAGTCGTTTATTGTCCTTTTTGGCAAGAGTCTTACAATACTTGAAAATTTATTTTGCCTCCTGTCTTCTCTGAGAAATCTCAGCTTTCCTTTGTTTCCCCACAGACTACATTTTCTAGAACTCTGATCATCCTAGTTGGGCTCTCCTCTGCCTGCCTGCACAGCAGGTCCTCATGGCTTTTTTTTCCTCCAAGCTTTGAGATGCTCAAAACTCTGTTCTGCTGGATGTCAATCTGGCAATTACAGATATGATATGTACATAATTATAATCATAATTGAGTGGAGCAAAATATCACTTCACTCACCTTCCAGAGATGCTGCCAATTCTATATCCTGGTATGAGACATGTGTAATTTTTTTTCCCCAGTGTGGCTACTACTTGTGTCTCAGTTGTGAAGTTCAGCTCTTTCAAAGATAAATTAGCATTTTCTAACACTCAAATAGAAATTACAGAATTAGTATGAGTTTCACAGTCAATTTTCCAGACAGACTTCCTTAAAAAGGCAGAACTTAAATGAATCATAGCTCTGTAGCTAGAAGTTATAATAACTAATACATAGGAAGAATTACATAATACCAGTTAAAGTGATACTTGAGTAGTTTTTTTGTCTACCTTTTATCTTAATTAGAACCTGAATTCCACAACTATTTTCATGCTCAGACTTTACCTCTTTCTGCTCAGTCTCTGTGGCTGGGAAGGTCAAATTAGAAATACAGGGTGCAGGGAAGGGCATTCAGTGAGAATGCATAGCCAGAACATAATGCCCTGAGTAGGCTTTGAAATCTATCTTAACATGACATTTGCTTACCTCCTGCAAGATATGAGGACAGCTAAAAGCCACATTTTAATATCTTCAGAGAGCAGAGCTGAGACTGCAAAGGACTTTTTAATGGGCCTCAAAAAAAACATTGCTATGTATCGGTATCGGAAACTAAGACACATCTTTGTACTTGAAAATGCCACACGCAATAAGACCTCATCAGGTTTCAACATCCTGCACACATCAAAGTATGTAGAAAGTACAAAGGATGTATCACATGACTGAGGCTCTAAACGCTCTTGCAAAATATCCTAACTTCCAGGATTAAGTGTCCTACAAGCTGGAACCACCAAATTTGAAGCATGGGCTAAGAAAAACAAAGTAAATTCCCTACCCTATTATGCAATCCCTGATATAATCATATAAATAAAAGTAGTAACAAAGACGAGTTCCCTGAACTAAAAATATGCCTTCCTTTGAAGAAAAAGAAATGGTAAAATGCAAGTTACAGCATCATATTTAGGGATTTCACCTCTCCAGGGAATACAACCATATGACACAAAACTCCAGATCCTACTCAGATACATCAATATCATTTATAACTCTGAAAGGAAGAGGGAGAGATTAAGGAGGAAGGACATAACACTTACAGAAAGAAGAACTTCAGTGACAGCATCAGACTGCCTATCAACTTGCCAATCAATCAGAAATAAATGTTAATGAGTAAATCAGCATCAAAGCCCTAAAAGCAGTGAAAAGTCTGATATAAACCTTCAGAGACCCAGAGCGCATGATGCTGACGTTTTGGATACTCTTGTATATGCAAGGCTGGATTTAAAAAAAGGTATTCTCCTTCCATGCTTGACAACACAATATCAGTTGGAATTTTACCATCTCTAATCACTAAACATTGGTTTATAATTAGGATACCCTAGCCATAACAGTTATCAACTGCTGGATTCTTAAGAACATCTGGACATGTCTCTATCACAAGATTAAGGCAGGCAAGTGCCATCTCTGCACCCCATTCCAATGAGGTTTGGAGATAAGCTGCAGCTGCTGCAATCTGTCCAGCTGAAGAAGAGATGTCCAGAGACAACTCACTGCTGCAGATGGTTAGCAATCCCTCCCTCATCACTGTGAGCAAACACATCTCTGCATAGCAATGTACAGAGAAAGGAGCAACCTGCCCTCTTACCCCAGTCTTACGCTCAGTGAGAATTGCAGCCCCAGAGAGCTATTTCTTCCCATGCTACCGTGCAGCCAAAACATTCCCTATGAGTTACAGTGGAAGCTCCTCTGTTCCCACACTGTGCTGCAATGTTATAACAAGTGACTCACATCAATCCTCCAGAAGCTTTTGGAGGCAGATTAGGGAGTGTTAGTGGGACCTCCCAATAGAAGACAAGGATGTGACCACCAAGAAGCTGTGGTGACCTCTCTTTGCAGCTGTGACTCTGCAAGGAGGCAAGAGAGATTCGCACAAGGGGCTTTACCTGGAGAGTCTGAGGCAATTCAGTAAGAGGCAGCAAGGGCTCCAGACTGTGCAAAGAAGGCTGTCCGAGCTGCATCAGCTGCTGAGTATGCACTTTGTGTTGAACAGATTTATTCTGACAGGAAAGGAGGGCCCGTAGGTGCTGCCAAAGCTGTGAAATCCGTATCCTGTGGGTCAGACACTCAGCTTGTGAGCATTGGCTTAGGGAGCTGTACTGTCTCGCAGAGCCATGGGCCTGGCCTGTGGAGGAAAGAGAAAAAGAAATTGCATTGTCCATCCACGTGGGCCTCTGAGATTTTTGATGCATGGACTAACCGTGACTATCTTAGGTAAGATAATCTTCAAAAAACAGCAAAGCTTCCACTGCTACATATGAGGGAGGGAAAAATTTTAACTGAAATAATGCAAAACATAATTGCAACCTTTCATCCAGGCTGCTGAAGTATTTCAAATCCTCTAGTAAACCCTGCTAATCTGGGCGCAAAGGAAGTTTATGGATCACCCAGCTGTACTTGGAGCCAATTTGCATAAAATGATCCAACAACACAGCAGCAGATCTGGGAGATCAGCAGAACGTGTTTCTCCATGGCTCACTAGCCTGACTAGGGCTGCCTGGCCCAAAACACTGGCAAAACATAAAACTATGAAGATACTTCAGGTGCTGAGCTGCACAGCGAGTGCAGCTGGCAGTGGAGATCACGGCAAGGGAGAGGCCTGTGCACAGCAGCCTCTGTGCTCCTGGCTGTACACAGGAAACATTCTGAGAGGGCAGTATCCTCGGAATATGTTTATTTAGGGACAAATCTAAAACAATTTCAGCCTAAAGCACTTTTAAAACCACTTTCTGAAATTTAAAAAAGGGCCTTTGAAAAATTAGGAACACCACTGGCATTATGGTAATGAAGGTCCTCTCATCGTGGTAGAAACCAGCTAAATAACAGAGAGAGCCCACAACACACAGGACACTGCCAAAGAGGCAGAGATCTCAAGTTGCAAAACAGGAAGAAAACTTTCTCAGCAAATTGTAAGGCATATATATATATGTGCGTGCGTGTGTGCATATATATATATATATATATATATATGCACACACGCACACATATGTGTAAGAGTTTGTCTAAGGCTCTGTCACCCTCACTGTTAAGAAATTTTTCCTTAAGTTCCCGTGGAACTTTTGGTGCTTCATTTTGTGGCTGTTTCCTCTAGTCCTATCAGTGGCCACCACTGATCCATCCAGTCTAGTAGCTTTTCTCCAACAGTAGTCTATAAACCCTTTGGAAAAGAGTATTGCAAAAACAGTATCCTTGATTTACCTCTCAGGCAGCACAAGGATTTCCTGACCCAGAGCTTCCCCCACACCCGACCTGTAATACTCTCATGAAGAATGACGCCCTCCCAACACAAACGTCTGATCCTGAAGTAAAAGAACAGCATAAGGCCCAAAGGAGCCATGCAACCAGGAGGTCCTGCTCGGAGCACTTCTGCTCCAGTCCGTGACAGCAGCGCTCACTTTCATAAGGATTGGACTAAGGCTGTGCGAAGTTTTCTGTGACATATCAAACTAGGCATGTTTTATCCTGCCTCAAGGATTACTGGGAGAGGCAAGCAGCAGCTAGACCAGTATTAATTGCCCTGTCCAAGGAAACGGTAAATCTATATCGTTCACACTGCAGGCAGGATGAGTACTAGAGTCAAGCATAATCCCACATAACTGTTAGTAGAAGCCTTGAACCCATGCCTCCAGAGATGGATGTGTTCCAAGCGATAAATCCCAGGAGCAGCAAAGGGGAAGGGCAGCAGCAGGTTCCCAGGTATGATGATCCCCCTTACCCAAGCGAAGTCTTAGTTGAATCGCTCATGCTGTGGAGAGGCTGTGATCACAAACCCCTCGGGATGATGGTTCTGGATTGGGAGGGTTAGTAACGTGGTGGGGATGGTGAAGGTGGCCAGCAGTTGTGAAGCTGCAGCACGGAGGGTAAAATCCTGCCAGCAGCGGGGCGGCCCAGCACAGGTACCTGAGCAGTCTGCAGCACCCGGCCCTGCAGCCGCTGCGGGGTCGCTCCTGCCTCCTCATCCCGAGGCTGCCCCAAGGACCCCACGGCAACTGAGCTGGCCACTAACAAGCACCAGCACGGAAACGACACCCGTGCTCCAGGGAAGAGGTGGGACAAGGGACACAGTCCTGAGCACATGAGGTATCTCAAACACGGCTAGAAAGGGGGAGGGAAGCGCCACACAGCCTGCCCACCCCAGCACCCCGGTGTGCAGGCCGCCCTGCTGCCCATGAGGGGCCGTGACAGGAGCACCCACCTCGGCTCCGCACACACGGGTGGCCTTCGGGCAGGGTGTGCTGGGCACCATGGCACGTACAGCCACACAGAGCAACCCCCAGCCGCCGGACCGCCTGGGCCACCCACATCCCCTCCAAATGGGATGGAGAGGAAAAAAAAGGGCGGGGAAAGGGTACGCAAGAAAAAAAGAGAAGCAGAAAGGGCAGGACAGTGAGAAGAGTGGGGAAGGAAGGAAGGAAGAAAGCAGAAAAAAAAATAAAAGAGAAAGAAAGGAGGAGAAAGGGGAGGAGATGACAGGCGAGGGGAGAAGGGAGGACGGGGCGGGAGGAGGAGAGAGGCCGGGGGAGGAGAGCGCTGAGCAGCTCGGCAGAGGCGCGGGACGTGACGGGTCGGGACGGGACCCCCGGGCCATGCGGCTCCTGGCCGCGGCACTCGCCGCCTTCCTGGCCGCGGCCCCGGCCCCAGGTAAGCAGCACCACGCGCGGTCCCCCTTTCCTTCTCTTCCCTACCCACCGTCTTCCCCCTGTGCATGCCAAGGCACCGCTGCCCCTCACGGCAGCTCCCCAGGCCCGCGGGGCGCAGAAGGGGCTCAGGGCTGCTCTGCCCCTTCGCTGTGCGGCCCTGGGGGGCTCTGCGCGGGCAGCAGGCCGGGCACGGACTCCCCGGCGCCTCTGAGCGCTGCCCAACGCACCTTGCCGTGCAGGAGCCGGCGGGAAGGCGGCCTCCGCGTCCCCCTGTGCCCCACGGGACGACACGATGCTGCTCCAAGCGGCGCTGGCAAAGTCGAGGCTGAGGGGACCTGGGTGCAATTTCTTCACGGGCGCCGAGATCCCACAGGCATCCCCTGGAAACCGATCCCCTAGGTCACCTGGAGAAAGAATAAGGGAAAACAAATCAACTTCACCAGGACCTTTGTGCCTCCAAAATGTCAAAGGTCCACTGACCAGCTTTGTATTCTGCAAAAAGGACACAGATCTGAACATCAAGGTACAGGGAGGGCTGAGGGGGCTGCCTGCCTGTTTGAGGTTAGCAGCAGAGGCAGATTTGGCTCTCTCCATCGCGAGGCAGGAGGCAGCAGAGCCCTGGGTCAAGTCCATCTTCAGTGAGCACACAAGATTCCTCAGAGCAGGAGCCCCCAGCTTGCGAGAGTTGAAGGCACATCCGCTGGGCTGGGACCAGCTGGCTGCTTTCGGTGATCTTTCTAGCCAGTTCCTAATTATTTCCATTTAAACAAAGAGCTTTGCTTCTTCCTGGCTCATCTGCTCTTCTTACTTTTCAACTGCTGAAAAGTCATAATAAACCAGGCCTTGACAGCAGCATTGTTCACGGAACGAACTACACACAGATAAAAGCCACCCCATACACTTCTGGTCTGCAAAGCCAAGATTAGATGACAACTACACTGAGCACCTGCCTCTCCTATCCCTAAACTGTTGCAGCAGAGATAGACAAAAAAGTCCCTTCTTTCTGCAACCCAAAAGCTGGAGTGAAGACCCTGCCTGGCAGCTGCCATGGATGAAATAAGGGTGTTTTCAAAAAAGGGTTTAGTTCTAGCCCTTCCTCTGTTAATCCTTCCCTAAATTCCAACAGCACAGCAAGTACCAAAGAAACAAAAGCTAAAATCCTGGGATGGAGGCAATTAAATAAGCTGGTTGCAAATATGAGACACGTTTGATGGTTAAGCACACTGGAGAGGAATCCTTAAGTCTTTGACTTGCTCTCCTCCCCTTTTCTATAAATAGCTTCCTTTTCAAGCAGGAGCAGGGCTAAACTCTTGTGGTGAGCTCCACCTGAACTGCAACGTCACCCATGCTATCTTGGGAAGGCAGGAGAATAAAAACAGTGATTCCTTGCTGGAGGCGGGAGTCTAGGGTCTAGAAGTTCAGTGCTGTGTTGGCCATTAGACTGTTCTCAAGTTGTGGAGGAGTCTCTGGTCTTGGCAAGACTATCACATGATTAAGTCTCATGTTAAGGCTGAGCCAAAGGCAGCTAAAGACAGGAGAAACATTTCCACTAGAGTCCGGGAACCCTCACTGAGGCTCTTCTTTCCCACATAAGAGGCAGCAGACCTGTTCCTCTAGCACTGCTACTGATCCAGCGGCAGGAGTGGAAGGAGTCAAGTAGATGCTTTCTTGTTTTATATAAAGCATCACCCAATCCTGCTCAGCATGAGGATGTGCTAAAAGCACAAGGAAGTATCCAAGGCTGCGCTCATACATCTGCAGCGATGCGAGTCACAGAGGGGAGAGAAGCACAAGCATTTCTTCTGATGACACAGATCTTCAAGCAGCTGACCCACTGGAATAAATGGGCTACACTACAAGAAGGATGTAGGAATTGGTATTTCATTATAAAAAGACACATCTCCTAGAGAAAAGTAGAAGTCCAAGGTACAAGAGACCAAAGTTTATATGAAGGTAAACAAGCCCAAAAGGATCAGATACTCCACAAACCACACTTCTCTATCCTCTTGCACAGGCTCCCATCACCACGTGTCTGAACTCCTCTGCAAGTTTCTCTAGGGTACTTTTTTGCTCCATATTTGCCTAGATTTGAATTAGGCCAAAGGTGCTTTTGCCTTTTATTTTGGGATACTATTCCACTCTCAGTCCTAGCCAGCTTTTTCAAACAAGAAGATTGCATGTCAGGAAAATGACATAATTGTTTTTCTTGAAATGTTTCATGACACATTTAGATATCTCAGTAAAAATGCCTGTGCTTTTCATTTACTGAAACCACATTTTTATAAAAAGTTTATTAAATATGTATAATAATAATAAAGAGAATACCAAACATTTAAAAATCCTTAACGAAACATATTTTCTGGCTAGTACAGCTTCAAAATTCAACCTTATTTTGATGGTAGAGGCAGCCACTTTATCTTTACATCTCCCTGTAAAGCATGAAGACCATGTAACTCCAAGTAATTATCAAAGTCTTTAGTGATATTCAACCTTAAGTTTTAATTTCCACTTCCTCTTCTACCTGTGTGCTTTCCACAATTCAAAATAATATTTTATCCTGGGACTCATACGAATAGGCACACACCATGCACAGATAATTGTGATAATCTAGACCTTTCTTACCATCATTTCTCATACAACATATTTCATTTTCTCCTTCATAAATTAAAAAAAAAACTTAGAAAAACTCCACCAATCAGTAGAGTTTTCTATTGAATTGACCCAAAATAATTACTATACTATTAATTTTAGAGGCTTCTTCTTTCAAAAACTTCAATGCAACTTCTTTAATTTAGTGGGCTTACTTTAAGTGATGTAATTTATCACTCCATTTCACAGCTTCACTGGAGCCATAAAACCAGCACCTCTGACTCCAATACTTCTTCAGAAATGCATGGAAATACTTTACTTGCTTATTTTGAAGATAAGTATATGTTTGTGTTTCAGGAGCTGATGTCAGACAAGAGTTTCTGCCAAAATGCTCATCCCCTTTGTTAACATGTTCCTAGCTGATGTACTGGAAAAGGGTCCAGGAATGAAAAATCCATTCTCCCAGATTTGTAATTCTCAGTAGTATTTGAGCACAGTACACTCACAAAACAGGAAGCTTAATATTCACATTTTAGAGGCATTTCATGCTTTGCAGAGTGTATTGTGTGGAGTGCTTGGTCACTGCTGAAATATGGCTCTCTAGTGCATGCCTGCAGACCGTAGATTACACATTATAAGTAATTTAGGGAACACATTGACACAATATAAATAGATCAGTCTTTGATGTCAGAACAAAAATAGATCAGTCTTTGATATGACTAATAAGAACACTCTTAATAGTTAGGAAGTAAAAGAGTGGTGATTCTCATACCTCAGAAAATCAGTCAAGTATAAATCAGCCAGGTCAGGAAAGAAGAAAGTCTTTCTGCAGCACAGAGATGCAGACCTCTGTCAGTCTTCATCTATACTTGGTTAGAAACACAGCAGAGAGAAACAACTAGTCTAAGCTTCATGATTCAGAATAGAAAAAGAAGTCAGAAATGAATGGAAAAAAAAAAAAAGGAATAACTCTTTAGTCTGATATAATATCATGTCATATTTTGTGAGCCACATAATGTCAGATTAAATTGAATTTGTAGTCACAGGACTAATTGACAGATCTAATCCAGATTTCAGATGATCCTTTGATTATAACACGGAGACTATGACAAGTAGAGTAGCATTTGAAACAGATGATACTGGGAAGTGTAAAGAAAGAAGCTGATTTGGGAAACACAGGGAAGTTAGTAGAGAAAACTATCCTTCAGAGAGATGCATCTGAGGAAAAGTGTAATTTAAAATTTGCACTAAAGAAAATAAATAAATGTGAACATGCACACCAAATATAGGACTTTATCAGATCACCCTAAGGTTGGAATAGCAGGCAGGAAAAAAATGAGAAACAAATAACCAAAGTGGAGTGGAACTTAGTAGGCTAAGTCATACACTTGGGGGATTAGTAAGCATTTCTTCAATGAATCAGGAACTGAACCACAAATGACAAAGAGGGAAAAACACCCAAATATATTATTTAATTATAAACTCACATACAATCCCATAGGGAAAAAAAAAACATTAAAAGCATAACAGAAATCTAGGATATATCACACAAAGATTTCTAGGTAAATCTAGGAAGTATCATGTCCTTTTCACACAACACTGAGCTGCTTTCTGTCTGTAATTCCTGCCACACACACATTAATATAAATAAACAAAACTCAAGATGGAATCAATGCAGAAAAGACCTATGAAGACCTGGGGAAGTGGAGAGTCTAATTTACTACAGGAGACTCACAGAGTTTGACTTCTTTAACTCAGGAAAATGAAGGCTGTTGGAGACCAGATGATTCCTTTCTACATGGAGTCTGGCAACAGGCACCAAAGGGAAAAAACACTGTTTAAAGGATAGAGTTGGCACAGGAACAAATGAGCATAAACTGTCTAATAAAAGAATTTTGACTGAAAATTATTAGAAAGACTCAAGTCACTAGCAGAGTCAGGTCAGAGAAGGTCATGGTCATGAGCCCTTCTGGGCTCTATTACTCCAAGCAAGTTGTAGATAAAGTTTGTTCAGACAGAGAAAAGACTATGAGATGTTGGGTGTATGATGGGAGGGACCTACTCATTTTAGTTCTATCTTATTAAATATAGACAGATAGGACAGCAGAGCAAACTCATTGAAGAAGGGCCTTTACACAGCCCTTACCATGTGCACAACATAACGATGTGTCCAACATATCTGCGTGGACTTACATGCTGGGAGAGCTTAGGGTGCTTTTGTGGTGGCATGGAGGAGTCTCACGATCCCTGTTCTCTCCTTTGCAGATATCTGTGAGGCTTTAAATGTGACGGTCTCCCCAGGACCAACAGTGCGATACGCTGAGGGAGACAATGCTACCCTTTACTGCCACATTTCTCAGAAGAGGAAAATGGACAATTTGCTGGCTGTGCGGTGGGTCTTCGCTGTATCACCTACCCAGGAGTACCTGATGATCAAAATGACTAAGTTTGGGTCTGTCCAGTATTATGGAAATTACACTCACCATTTTCAGAAGCAAAGACTTCGTCTTCTTAAAGAGAAACATGGAACAATGTACAAATTTCTTATTTTAAGCCTACAGCCAACAGATCAAGGGCATTACATATGCAAAGTGCAGGAAATTGGAAAGCACAGGAATAAGTGGACAGCATGGTCAAATGGCACAGCAGCTACTGAAATAAAAGGTAAGAAATCACCTATTTCATTTTTCTTTTCCTATGATCTCTTTTTTGTCCCTTCTGTCAAGTTCATCCATAAGACATTTGAAGTCTTCTAGGTTATTTTTAATTGCTATACGTGCATCTCAGAAGAAAATCTAATACTCAGCTTTTTTATTACATTACAATTTAAACATTATTCAGTCCCCAGTGACAGGGGATTCAGTCCCCAGAAATCTTCTAGATTTCTAGAAGAGAGCCCATTTCTCTCCGTTACATTCAGTTACAAGTCTCTAGAACAATGTGAGTGGGAATAAACAAGCTTAACTATTATCTAAACAAAAAACGACAGAAGCAGAGAGAAATTAACTATTTTTACATAAAAATATGAAGGTCATCTAGAAATAGAAGCTTTATATTTTACATTTATGCTTTGCCTCGCATATGCTCATTACTTTTACTTCTAGTCTACATGTAATTTGAGTTGCATTCCTAATATCACTTCAGTACTTCTGTTTGTACCACTGTAGCCAGAAAGTTGAGCTACAAAAGCAGTAATCAGCCCATTTATTTTGAACTTCAGATAAACAAATGACCAGGAAGGAATGAAGGTTTCTAAATCATAAATCTCAGGCTGGAAATGGGGCTTCTTTTCAAGATGGGTCAGCTCAAATCTAATACTACCACGTCTACACTTGCAGAGAGTGCTAAAACAGGATTTTAGAGAACAGACTCCCTTACAGAGGTAACTGTGCTGAGCATCCTTACTGTCAGCACAAGCTGACAAACAAGCTCTTGGCTTGTGATTTTATAAATAGAGTTGATTTCCCACAGGATCAACTCCAAAGATAATACAAGAAGCGTGACCGCTTGGTCTGTGGGTCTGGAAACACAGAGATCATGCAAGCCAAAATACAAATATTCAGAGGTTTATCCAGCAATCACAGAAAAACTTGTGGGAGGAAAGAATACTTCATGAAGTTTCCTTCATTGGTTTTGATGCTAAATTTATTGCTGAGTTTAAATCACAAGGGTTATTCAATTGTTGGCCCTAGCTCCACTGACTACAGGTATTTTCAAGATGGATTCAGTCTATTTATGCAGTCTAAAATCAAAGCACATTCCCTCGAGTGCTAACTTCACTGCTGTCATTAGAGCATGTGTATCTCTTTTGGATTATAAACACATCAGGGAGACATAGGGGACTGTAAAAGATGATCTTTGCAAATGTGTGATCCTCTCTGGATAGCTCTCAGATGTCACAAGCTGTAGCTTTTATCTATCAGAGTTCCTGCAGTATGTGAAAAACACAGTATAACAAAAGATAAATAGCTGCTTTGTTTTGATCAAGAATGTTTAAGACTCCCTTGATAAATCATGGCATTAACATAATGTAATTAGCTGCTTATTACTACTGATGATGAAAGATACTAATAGAACTGAAGTTCAGTTTGGATTAGCAGCAAATAGCATGGATCAGCTGTAAACAACAACAACAACGAACTCCTAGCCTAAACTATTTGATCTTATTGGTTCTCCAAACCTTGTCTGGGAAGCCTCCGAGACATTCTAACAGGATTTCCTTTGCATCCTGTTTGCAGACAGCCAGAAATTATTCAATAAAGCTCTGTCCCCCCTGAGTAAAGAGCAGGACTGAAGTCTAAACTGCCATCTTGATCCCCTTCCTACCTCCTCCAGGAAGGAACCCACCCCTCTGGCACCCAGATCGTAACTCTGTACCAACTACACATTTCAAAAACCTCAAGTCTTAAAGATGCTAGGTTTGTACAACTCTTGTGAAATTGGCTCACGGGTATGGAGACAGAGAGACTATGCCCATTAACACTCTCACTAAGGGAAAGCTGTAAGCAAAGCTGTAGGCAAAGCAGATCATAAATACAGAATCAGAAACAGGGGGACCTGAGACTCATAAACTGGTCTTTCTAAAAGTGTCTGGACAGCTGCATTGCTTCCCTTGGCTTCAAATATAATCCAAAGTGCAGCAGGAAACTTGAGATAAGACAGGAAGGCAGGACTACCTGTAGACTAAACACACTGACATAACACTCTGGGAGGGACCTTTGTAAGAAAGGGTATTTCACCTGGGTTTAGAATTACAATAAATATGCTAGAAGACATCTGAAAAATTACACATATTTAAAGGCCAAACCACCTTTTGCTATTAATTAGGCACTCTATTGGAAACAAAGAACTGCCTTAGCTAGCAGTAAGGTAATATATTGTAAGAATAAAAGACTTACTAATAAATAAGGACTACACTTGGGAGGGAAGGCAACTCTTTTCACAGTAGGGATAAAGTCAACGTTTCCCCAATGGTAACACTTGGGCTTTCCAGGAAAATTTTCCTGAACAGTTGATCTTTTTATGATTAGTTTAGTTACAATACAGTAAGATCCAAAATTTAAGAAGAGGCATCATATGACTTGCCTGAAGCATGTTGATACTAAAATTATATACTTCTGCTTTATTACATAAGGTAACAGTGTTCAAACACAAATGCTGTCTTATCTAGCATTTTGTTTCCATTAATGTGTCTGAAATTACTTCCAAACCCAAGATGGTATCTTCATGCTAGAGCACCAAACAAATTTCTTACAGGCTTGTACATCAAATGGATGCAGAAGTAGCATTTAGGTTCCTTTTTTGGTTCACACAGGAGGGGGAGGTCACTGTGTAAGTTAGAAAATTCCAGAGAGGATGGAGAAGGAAGCATGATTCTGCCTCTTCAGAGGCAGAGTATTTGCATGGGAATCAGAAAAAAATGTGGGGCAGGTCAGTATGTATTCTTTGCAAAGCACAAACTATAGCACTACTCCAAGCAAAAGATCTTTCAAAATGATTAGTGGATTTTTGCTATTTACTCCTATTAATTTATATCCATATCTATAAAATACACTATTAAACCTTTAAGTGGGAAAAAAAAAAATCTGTGTTTTGATATCACCAAGAAGTATCTCTCTTACCAGCCTTGCAACATCAGCACTCTAAGCTAGCTTAGATCTCTTTGCCAAATTCTACCTTCGACTCAAAGAATTTTTCTGAATTTGTTTGGTTAATGTTAACCTAAGACAAGTTAATGATCTTCATTATACTCCAGAACATAATAAAAAGTTAATCTGAGGAAAAAAATAAGCAGCAAGGTAGATTCCTTACTGCCTTCCTACCAGAAAACTCAAACCAATGCCTAGTCTGCTCTGAGTAACTCAACTTGTAGCACCTTCAAAGCGTCACGGGCAGTTGGGTGATTCCTCAAAGCCCATTATGCCGGGCACTATGCATGTCTCAGGAAGAGCAGTACCTGTTCAAAAGGATTTACAATCCAAGAGGAGACTACGTGTAGGACAAACTGAAGATTAACCAGACCTACAAAAATTGTACTAGTAAGTAGAAAGCCAGTAAGCAGAGATAACCACAACAATCTATTTAATTGGGAAGTTCTGGCAACAAGAACAAATTCTGAATTGCAAGAAACATTAGTAGCCTGTGCAATCTCCAATGGTAAAAATGTTGGAAGCCACAGAATTCAAACCTTTTCCCCCCCCCCCTTTTTTTTTAAACCAAAATGAACAAATGCCTTCTCTTTGAGGGAAGGTATTCCAAAATACTTGACTAAAATCTTAATGTGCAACATTTTTATGTAATGAACTAATAGATTTGTTAAAATATTCAGGGTGACTTCCCTACTAAACAGATGTTTTCATTATTCCTGAAGGTAGTTCCATATCCTCTGTGTTAAGCTCACACATCATATCCCTTCAGGACCCTTGTTAGTTATTTCCCCTTACCGTAAGGCATAGTTTTTAGTGGTTTGCCACGTGAACATTGTGTGGAAATTCAAACCTCATTGGCAAACTGGACAACATCACCAGACTCCTATTGCACTGCAACAATCTCTAGGGAAAAAAAGCAAGAATGTCAGCGAGTAAATATAAGCCTAATCCAAAGTCATCAAATAATGTCAGCATCCATAAACAGACTGACTGGTAAAAGCAGAGAAGGTTTTAAACAATGAGCTGGCAGTCAAAGCATTTGGATCCCAATTCTAGTTTGCGCCGCTGTTCTGACATTGACACTCATCCATTTGCCTATAGCTCTGACATCTGCTCCACCATGTAAAACTGAGAGGTTGCACAAAAATGCAGTCTTTGAGAATGCAGAGCCAGAAGTTCTGGCTAAACGGGAACAGAGAGTCAGAATAAAAACTGTAACATACAGCATTAATAGTGACTTCTTCCCTGGGATGCTCAGACCTTCGCCACATAGCTGTTTTAGACCTTAAAGTCACACAGCAGGCTGCTCTAAAGCTTATACTCTTCTGAAGTATCCTCTCTCTGAGGATACTTTCTCTCTCCTTTTTGTATTTCAATGCATTCAGCTTTCCAGGACAGAGGAGCTACACACTCCACATACACAGTAAAATAAATACACAGATGCATCTATTTTACATCTTCCCAGAATAAGATGCGAACAGATACAATCTAGCGAGTTAAATGACACTCCTTGGGGATGCCAAAGAAGATGAGATTTACTGGCAAACATTCTTATCACGACATTCTATAACCAAAGTGCATGGCTGAAAGGTGAGATAAGATCTTGGTGCACTGAAGTATTAAGCAGGGAACCATTTACTTCAAGAAGTCTCAACATTTTATGCCACGTATTTTCAGTTGCCTTCATGTCCTCTTTTTTTTTTTTCCTTTCCAGTGATTTCACCGAGAGCTTCAGATGATCCCATCTTCAAGAAAAACCATGAGGCTTGGAAGTTTTTTGAAGGTAAAGAGGCGTCTAGTGCTACTGGTAGCACACAAGACAAATGTTAGTTCAGTCCAGCTCCCCAAGCCAGTAGGACACTACTGCCACAATCAGGCCCGGTTTTGCTAGTTCCTGTGCAAACTCGGGCCTTGCCTCAAAAAGCATTTGCCAACATACGACAACTGCACGTGAAAAAGGAAGATAAGGCCTTCCCTGCAGTTTCTCATATCTGTATTATGGTCAATGGGGAACTAACCCTTGTCTGTAGTGCAGTGCAGACCCTTGTCCATGAAGCTGCTGAACGTGTCTGAAGCACCTTGTGCTCCCAGTAGCCTTAATGCTCACTGAACAGTCAGCATTGCAAGAGTGTCCTAAGCTCCCTTGAGTTTCAAGGCAAGCAGGGTTTCTGTGTTGATTAGTGAACATCTGTTACAGGAAACTGAAACGCAGAACTTGCCTTCCAATGGGATTTCCTTCTCCTCTTGTCCCAAGTATGTAGTGCCAGCAAAGCACCAGTGTGTCTGGCTGCTGCCACCCCACTGCCTGCCAGGTGGGAGAGGTCACTTGGAGGCTTGCCTCGACAATGGGGGAGGCCTTGTTGTTCAGATCGCAATTTATATTTAAATATTTTATTTAAATTCTATTTATTTTACAACTATATTATTTGACTGATGTAAAGAGAAAGAGGTTGTAAACAAAACACAGAACTGTAGGTCTCGATGCAGCATTACTGTTTTCTACACCACCCCTTGACCTCTGAGGCTTTGTTCCTTCTTTGTAAAGCAGGAAAGAAGTCCCTAAGGACATTTCAAGACATTGAATTAAGCATCCTTAAACAAAACACTCTAAATAGAGTTTTAGAAGAGGCAGAAATAAGTCATTAAACATTTCTCTGCTTCCGTACAAAATACTCTCTTTTGAGCTGCAGTAGTAGAAGTGCTGTCAGCTTCAGAAGTAATGTGTTAGGCACCTGAATGAAAGCCATAGAAATAGGATACTTAGGCTAGAGGTAGAGAAAGGGAAGAGAAAAAAAAGGGGAAAAAAATCAAGGCCGTGATGCTGCCAAAAGCAGCAGGTCACAGCCCTCCTTTCTTCTTCCCCAGCCACACAGCACTTCCCAATCTCCCCTTTGCCCCCTCCCCCCCTTTTTTCTTTTTTCAATAAAATAGCAAAGCTGTGGGAAATGATCCAGCTGAAGCTCTTAAACTCTTATGGTAGCCCCACCAAAAAAACAAAACCAAGCCCTCTCCTTCCTCCCAAGCTCCCCTAAATTAAATTATTTACTGGAACTAAATCTATTAGCATTTTTTGAGTCTTTATCTAAATTAAAATCGATCAAAGTAGCATATAAAAATTCTCAAGAGGGTTAAATGACTTCTCAAGTGCTACCCTAAATCTTCGGGGCAGAGGTCTATTTAGGTCCTGCACACCAAACTTTTGCTGTCTTGCAAGCATGAGGCATACAGCTACAACATTGAGTCTCCATGTGCTTGGCTTTCAGACCTGTATGTGTATGCAGTGTTTGTGTGTTCAATAGGAATCATCAGCGTCCTCCTTTTCACACTTGTCATTCTCTGTCAATCCCTTCTAAACAAGCGGAGATCCACAGGTAAGTGAAATGTCATTACATCATTCTTCCTGATCCTGGGATCCTTACCAGAGAGGGAAAAGGAAAAAAGGAGAAGGTGGCATATGCAGGAAAGAAAAATATCTCCTTGCTTGGATTTTAAATAGAAGCTTAGAGGGTCTTCTGCAGAGGTTTGCTTCCATCACACTTTCTTACCCCTCCCTGAACAGCTATCAATATTCTGGGGTGGGTTGGGGAAGAGGGAGGGAGTTGTTACCTCTGTTGTTTATAGCGTTCTTTGGGCCTAAAGTATCATCTCATGATTCAGATGTGCATTTTCCTAATATTTCACAGTCAAGGATTACCATTTCAATCTTCTCTTCCTCAGAGAGGGTTTGTGAAGAGGTTCAAACTGCATGGAAGCAGACCCTGCTCTAATCAAAAGTGTTGTTTTAGACCAGTGAAATAACCAGCACAAGTCCTTTCAATTTGGGAATAGTTCATGTAGAGACATCACCTGTAATTGAAAGCTGCAAGGAGAGCACATCAGCATGTGAAGCAGCCAGCATGTTCTAAGGTGGTTCTTACATTTTTTCCTAGTAGAAGGTTTGAAAAAGAGCTTGCTTATTCATTTGTCATATTAATGACAGGAGAAAATCATGGCCTTGTTACCACCTCAGCACAAGCACATGTGCCATGAAGGAATGCGTGACTCAGAGACACAAGGGAAAAGACATGCAAGACAAAACACAGATTTATAGAGATGTTTGTGCCTGACCACAATCATAATTCAGGCTCCATTTTCCTGGTAGCATGCTCGGAGTAACTCTCCCTCTAATTTAACCCAACTCCTGCTCTTGCCAGCAGGAAGACAAAACCAGCGTTACTCTTCCTACCCTGGTAAGTGATGACAAAGGCTGGGTGCCAGGAGAGCACCCACATTTAAGTATGTTGGTCATGGTGAGTCACCCTGAAGCCACAAGCACTAGACGTGCTGATTTATTCTAGCTGTTGCTTAGCAGACATCGGGCTGGTTTTGCATCTGGTTACATTCACTGGTGTAAGTGAATGTGCAGCTTGGAGAAAAACTCTTTTGAGGCTGACCTAACACAAGTTCAATATAGAAATAATACAGAATGTAATATGGAATATGCACATACAATATCAAGTCTTTTCCTCTGAGTTATTAAAACTTTTCTTCACAGCCCTAATATCTGATTAATTGCAGGCTTAAGCACTATTTGTCTAGATTTTGAACATCAGCCAGTAAACACTGGCAACACAAAACTTACAAATTCAACAGAAAAATAACAGAGAAAATCTTAGCCAAGAATCATTCAGCATGGAACTGATTAGATTTCAGGGCAAGACTTTCAGCTAGGACCACCTAATCAAAGTACTTTCCTGAGCCCACATTAATTAATCAAACATTCACTTAAGCAGTAGGAAATTAAATACTCCTGGAGGAGCTGAGGAAGCAGCCTCAGTGATGGAGTGTCCAGCAGCCATCTGCTGTTGGGCCAGAGTGGGAGGCTCAGAGCACAATGTGCCCCCTTGCTCCTCAGCACTCATCTACCCCCATCCCAAAGCACCATCTCAGGATTAGAGTCTTGAGATACCTGGCCTGCCAGCTAACAGCAGCTCTCTCCCATTGATATCACTAGATCAGTCCTTAAAACAGTCCTTCAGCATGGAGTACCAACATCTAAGTGTTCTCTTAGCTTCTCTCCATCTTGCGCACTCCATATTACCGTCCTGGCCTACAATAGGCAGATCCTGGTATTACATACACATATTACAAAGACTCTCCAGTGAAATCACAAGGCCCATCCTTCCTTGAGAAACGGACCAAGAAATTGCACAAAAAGGCAGTCATCCCTTGGCCTCATCCTGGGCCTTCAGCCAGACTCCATGTATTTTGCCATTAAAAGCAATGAGAATTTGCTGCCCAAAGAGCTGTGATTACAAAATACAAGATGCAAACAACAACTTTTGACAGTTATTCACTTAGACTTGAGATTTCTATAACTTGAAGTTTCCTGGAAATATCTTCTCATCCAGATTTTTCTTGATGATCTTGAGAACATTTCCTATTTCTCCAGGACTTTAAGAGATAACCACCTCAGTTGGAGTAGCCTCCAGTTGCCATACACAGATAAAACAGAATAAGTTGACAGTAGTTGATAACAGTCAGAGCTCCTCCTCCTCCCTGTGTTTTCCCACACTTGCCATGCAGCAGGGCTTGGGCTAAACACAGAAAATGCTCAGCCACAAAAAGAGCACCATGATGACCCTGGCTCCTCAAGGACTGCAGAGGGCAAGCTGTCCTTGCTCAGGGCTATTGATTCAAAGCAGCAGGAAGCATTTATACAGCTCACACATGCACTGAGCAAGAGGACACTGCCCTGAGCAGACCTCTGCTCTGATCTCTGGGCTAACTACTAGAATGCAAGCTGCCCAGCACTTTCACAGTAGATTTTTGGTGTTGTTTGGTACATCCACGATTCCCAAGCCGGCCTCTCTCTTTGAGTGAGGCTTTAATTCACAGTACAATATGCAGTTAGGATTAAAACTTCCTACTATAACCTCTCCACAATCTTAGAAGCACAGGCTTACCTGTAGTGTCCATTTGTAATTCGTAAACTCTGGTTGGTGTAAAGTCACATTTTCTGTTTTTGTTTTTATTTAACAGTGAAGCATTACCTGGTGAAATGCCCCCAGAACAGGTAGGAGATGACACTTCTCTTTTAACCCAAGGCATGAGCTCTGTTTTGTTTTTGCTATGTTCAGTGAAAAAGATGAGTTAAGCTTTCCAAAATGCCCTAAAGCCAACACCTTAGCCAACACGTCCTGTGTGTGATGAGTGGGCTCCAGCCAGACTATCTAGCTGTAGGTCCTGCAGGTGCTTAACCTGGCCTTGAGGCTCTGAACTGCTTTTTGAAGAAGTCTGATTTAACTCCGTGTGACTTCCCAGAATTTCCAACATCTCACCAGATGGCAATGAGTGTCCTTAACCATCCTACATAGAATAAAGCACATTACTGAGTTATTGCTATTAATTCCTGTACCCAGAAATGTGGAGTGAGGCTAGAAAAGAGACTTTTGTTAGGTCTGTTATCCGCTGAAGACTCTAAATGATGAGGAAGTCCTGTTGCAGCCATTCCTCTTTACCCCTGTTATATCACTGGCAACTGAAAGGTTTGATTTGTGTAGTGGTATTTAACTAGTTTCCAACTTAAGAGCTTTTTGAGATACAACTGCACTGGAATTGCAGTCAAAGAAAGCTAACAATATTTTACGAGCAAAAATGATTAAAGAGGATGCCTCACAGTAAGGCAAGAGTGCAGCTGTTTCCCAGTTTGCAATGACATAAAACACATGTTTCTGGTCTTATAGTTTAAATCCAGTATCACTAGGTATCAGAGAGAATTTTTCATAGTATCTTTTTAGCACAGATTCTAAGCCAAGTATTGCATGTCCTGGATCCTGAACTAGAGTATTTTTTATTGCATTCTCATGGGAAAATTGCTGTATTTATTCTAACCAACACCAGGGAGTAAACAAAGTCACAATAAAGCAGCAGAGAGTTCAGGAGAGGCCAGTACGAACTGAAACTTTGATGTTATTCACTAGACAATCTTTGTTCTGTGACCCTGACCAGCTATTGCACCACTCCACACATTCACAGAGACAACTCAACAATTTTCATTTTTCTCCTGAATGTTTGTTTTTTCCTTCTCATTTATTAGCTCCTGGGACAAAGCTGGTATTAGAAAACAACAGAGGAAGGGGCAAGGGGAAAATCAAGGTAGATTGGTAGAGAATACAAGAAGAGAAAAGCAATTGAAAAGATGACTGTCAAAGTGCTAAAAAAAATGGAATACGACAGTCAGATAAAAGGATTCATTATATTACAGAAAATGCCTCTCTGGAAATACACGTTGTAGTAGTGATACCACTGCAAACACCACATAGAGTTGGCTGAATAGAAGGGGTAAAACAACCCAACATGGCTTCTTCACTGTAAAATAGAATCTCTGGAAGCAAAATTAATGCATGATCCTAGGTGAATAAAAATGTGATCTAATTTCAGGGTGGCAAAATGTCCTAATGGAAACTGTGATCATACAAATGAATGCCTGAAGTGCATTGATTTCAAGGCTTTACAAATAAATAACTTTCAATATGTTGGCAGTATCAAGATTTTTAGTTATTTCCCAATTTTTATACCTTCTATTTTCCAATCTCTGCTTAAAACATGAGCCATCAAGTCCTTTGAACTTTTTAGGATTGTTCCCATACTTAAAGTTAAGCACGTGCCTAAGTACCTTGCTGACACTCTAATGCAGTATAAGCACATCAATTTTAGACATAAATTATCATCTATATTATGATACACAGCTGAATCAAAACATTTTTTTCTATTCATTCCTAGCCAAGGACCAAGAATGTGCTTCAAGGCATCACAATACTGGAATTATGGTACTGAATGACAAGTAAATCATACATTCTGGCTCAACCAGACGTGTAACTGCTGTGAATAGTCCCACTGATGGGAAGGAGGTGATGCCAGTTTTATGGGTGCAGGATATGGCCCATTCCTGGACCCATAACATTGCATAGGACTGTGGCATCAGCCCCAGACAAATGTCAGCAGGGCCACAGCCAGGCAGTGACAACATTTAGAAGTTCAGGGATAGTTTTAAGCATCAGAGGAATGGAGAGGCATAAGATGCACTCATCTGCCTGCACAGCAAAACAAGAAAAATCCTCTTAGTGTCCTCAGACCAACCTAGAATCTCAGAAAGCTTCATCAGATCTCATTTACACACTTGGTCAAATGGGGAACACATTTCAAGCTAGCTTCTCTTCACTTGCCTGTTCTTGCAAAAACGTTTGTCACTTTGCCATAGACCTTCAGTCCATTCCAACACACAACATCCACTAGGTCAATCTGACCAACTAGTTTGCAGGAGACTCCTGCAACTCAAAATGACTCTGCAATGTAAAATCAACCTTGATTAGATAGGCTCAGCTCCAAATCCCATAGTGATATTTCAAAGTGAGAGCAGAATCCAGTTTCAAAATTACATCAGCAGCCCAGTGTCTGTGCTCCCGCTGCAGTAACACCTGAGCTTCTCAAAAGATTTCATGCCCTCACATTCCAGTGGAGCTTTTCTTAATTGGAACCTAAGGAAAAAGTACTAAGTGATTTGCCCTGGGTCTCACAACATGGCCTGAGAAAAGAAAACTAAATCCAGATTTCTTCAGTAGTACATAGCAAATGTTGGGTTTTGGTTTACTACTTGACCAATAGCAAATTAAAGGGAAAAATAAGTCAGCTGAAACCCATTTCTTTCCCACATTTTAAAAATAAATACCTATATAAATAACACAGCTATTTCAGTTTCCTAAACCACTTAATTCTATTTCATGATTTTTTTTTCTTAAATATCCTCTTTGTTATTATCTTGCTTGTTCTTTAGATCACTTTGTCAGTTTTAGAACCAAAACTCCCCAGGAAGTAAAGCTTTGAAAATGGGATTTTTCTTCTCTGTCTTTTATGTGTTTTGGCCTGAATTCTTTGGTCATTCAGAAGCTGCTTTTCCAGAGACAAATCCTTCGAGGTGAAGGGCGGGGGTGAAATAAAAAAACAAAAAAACCCACATATATTCCCCCAGAAAGGTGTCCATCTCCATGCCCCACTTCCAGGGCAGAGGCCTAAAGCACTTAAGCAGCTTCCCTGGAGCCCTCCCCTGGCTCCTTGCACAACTGCCCCGTTTGGAAGATGTTAATGCAGTTCTCAGCACTTGGTGAATCCCCTCCTCTCCCAGACTCCTGAGGAAAGGGAACAGCTCAGCTCAGCTACCCCTAATACACACAAGGATTGTGTGTATTCCCTGTTCCCTTGGCACAGGAAAAGGGCTGCAGCCTTGAGCCTAATAAGGAGGTTAAAGGCCCAAATTACAGGAGCTGGACAGCTCTGTGGATGCGTTTCAGAAACACCAGGCGCTACCTGCAGGGAACTTTCCACAGGTGTTTTTTTCCCAAGCTCCTACCTTTTTATTGCTCTCAAAAAACACACCCATTTCTTCAAGAAATCACAATGGTGACACTGTTCAAATACAAACCAGGAGGCTGGAGGAGGAGCTGGAGATAAAAAAGCGACTTTCCTTTTAAACCTAGAACAAGAGGAGCGCACAAAGAGGCAGTGTGTGGGAGCCAAGGAGTCTTTTCTGAGCTGCCTTGTTCAGATGGAGGAACTCCCTCTGAGGCTGCAAGTGGAGCTGCAGCGTGTGTGTTAACCCCCTACAGCCCTGGCCCTTCACAGAAAAGTGTGGGCTACAAATTCATTTCTCTGTAGCTTCTCTGCCTCAGTGACAGAGCAGGAATAATAACTGATGCAGTGAATTGACAGTGAGCCCTTTCATCTACCATGCTTAAAGAAGCAATGTTGGAATAGTAGTATCTTAAGCCACACATCTGCCTTAATGACTTTGGATTGTAAAATTAAAAAGATTAAAACTTCATTCTCATCCTCTTTTTGGCATGTTTTGTTCTTTGCAGTCTGCTGTGTTTGGGCAATGGAACTACGCAGGACAGAATCATTTCCTGCTGGTTTTAAACATTTTCACTTTCTGATTTTTTATAGCAACAAATGGTTGTTGCGGGATAGATTCAGGCAGACTTTGAAATTATTTTTGTGCAACATTACATAGTTTACATAATTGACATGATTTATTTATAAATCATGAAAACATTCTACCTTTCAAACACTTTAAAATGTAAATTTATGTTTTTGGACTGAGTACATGGAAAAGAATTTAGCAAAATCAGCAAACCACAGTCTTTTCTAGTCTATGCAAGTGTAAATCCAGCGTGATTTCGCCAATGGCAGTAACATTTATTTTGACTTAAAGCTGTGTGAAGTGATAACATCTGTTATTTTGTTATTCTTGTGTGGGCAACAGCTGACACATCTTAACTTCCATTAGGACTTTGGCCCACTTTGAGTATTTTGTTCTACCACGGTACAAAGAGTGTTTCACTAGTGGAAAGAACCCATGGAAAAACAATGTGGACAAATGAAAACAGTTTGGGAAAAATGATTTTCGTAGAGTTCACTTGTCAACATTATTATGATGGAAACAGGTGAGATCCCTCTGTGTGATCCAAGTCCTGGCACAGAAGGGTCTCCTGACCCTTCATCTTACCTGGGAGGAGCCCATAGTCAGATGTACCTGACTTCAAAGTCACCTCCAGCATGTGAGCTCTCATAACCGACTGCTATGCACTGTCCTGCCTCACCTCTAAGATTTCTTTCATACCAGTTAAGCCAATACAATTTTACCTCACATTAGTTGCGGGCTAAGAGCAGCCACACAATCAGTTCCCAATGTTCAGCTGACAAATTACTGCAACTTGACAGCATATCCATGCCCGTAACTGCTCAGAGCAGGATGCACGCTACCTTAGACTCTGCAGATGCTGAGACGACCACACTAGTCTCTGGAAAAGGCTAGTTTTATCTGTGACAGATTTGCAGGCTGTTGGAAGGTTTGCATCTCACTCAAGGCAGGCGGCCTTTCCTGACCTACTGAAAACTTGCCCAGTTTTAGCCTAGAAACCATGTTGAAGATTTTGCTTTGCCATGTACTTCCTCATTGAGCTTATGCAAGTCCCTTAAACTGTACGTGCCCGTGGCCCTCGAGGGCACAATATGATCCTGCATGCAATGTGTCTACAGAGTAGACTGCCCTTCCTACCGTTGTCTTCATTTCTCACCCACACGTGGATCTCTGCTTTCCAGTTCAGGGGAGACAGTTACCAGTGTGACAAGCATGTCCCCACTGCAGCCCAAGAAAGTAAAGAAAAAGAAAGAAAAAGAAAAAGTGGAGCAGCCACCAGCCATCCCAGCAAAAGGTATGAAAAGGGGGGTGAAGAAGTGTTTCAAATCCACAGCACCAGTGTGCAGGGACAGCAAAGCATGGGAAGTCAGGACTCCTGTAGTGCCACTGAATCTGCCCATGAAGCAGCCTGCAGTGACTTCTCCCGCGGGGAAGAAAGGGCCAGTACCCACTGGTGGGACCTGGCTATTACTGCTCATTAACATCAGGTATCTAAAGGCTAGTTCCATGGTCCAAGGAGGTGGTGGTCTCAGCTCCCATTATAATCAGTGGAGAGCAAGAGCAGAACCTCTAGGACAATATTCTCCTCATCTGATGAGAAGATTAAAGTTAAACAAGATGAAATCTTACCTTGAGGAAAGTCTGCACCCTGCACTCTTCAGGAGGGTGGGTGCACTTGCAGGGGCTATGCAAGCTGAGCAGATAAAGATCACGCTTCAGAGGACCTCATTTTCAAGGAGAATTTGCAATTGACTTCAGGAACAGTCACACAAACTCTTGAGCATGTTTTCTGAGTTTTCTGCCAGGCTGCTCAATGGGACAGGGGACAGAAAGGAATTAAAGATTTACCATGCATTAGATCACAAGTGACCAGTTCTTAAGAGGAGTATTTGCACACAAGCAAACACAAAAGCTGTGTTTTCTATATCAGATTGCTTGGTTTGTGACTCCTCCTTTATAAGCCTTATACTTAATTTTAAAAAAAAATGTTATATGGAACACAGGTAAACTCTGGCAAAAAACCTGCATTTATTTGCTCCTAATCTGCTATTAATCAATAATTTATAAATCACTAGTTTATATACTAAAAGAGTAACAGTGAATTATGATAGTATGAAATGATCTCTTAATATTTATTTCCATAGCTCCAATAGCCAATAACTTTCCTAAGCCCAAGCTGCTGAAACCACAGAGAAAATTGATCCTGGTAAGTAGTTTTCTATAACATTATTTTCTGCATGTTTTCTCTCAGTATAATTATCATAACATTGCCACAATTCTCAGGTCAGAAATTATAAGCTGGTTTTAAAATCACACAAGTCTTCTTTTTAAGTGATTCCTTTTCAAGTAATCAGTTGTCTTGGCCCTTTTCATTTTGAGCACTAGGTTACACTGGATTTTGTTTTCCAGCTTTTATTTACTTATTTACTTTACAATCACTGTGTCTATGAACTTTTTCTTTCTTAAATGAACCCTGCCACTGATTCTCATGTGCTTCTGGAACTTGGGGCATTGGAAAAAGTATTAGTTACTGGCAGCATCACAACTGTGTTGGTCAGACTCCTCCTGAGATGTTTCAAGCCAGAAATACGGGACCTGATTCTGTCCTGTGGCAGTGTAAGTCAGCAGGAGCTGAAGCTGCAGGCCTAAGAGCCATGTATACAGCTCACATAAGGGAAGGAAGACAGGGCAGTTTGTTGCTTGCGAGTCTCTGTTTGAAGAAGTTTTTGGATTTTGGCCAGACAAAATAAATAGACAGACCTTTTCTTGCCTTAGTAATAAATCAGTACTTGGTCAAGAAATCCAGGGGGAATAGGGACAGTTTCCTATAAACTGGCTTTAGCTCTGTATATGAAGGGCCTGCTCTCCTAAGCTCCCTACATAGAGAGCAAAGCGAGTCAGAGCAGAGCCTCTAAAATGCCTTTTGGGGACCCTTTTTCCCCTCACTGGCACAGAGAGCCCAGGCTGACTAACTTCCTGACCTTGGCACCTGAGTGAAGGTGGGTACCTAAAGTTAGGCCGTGTGAATAGTCCTCGCCTCTGAGATGGCTTCACTGCAGGTGAGGATTAGCATTGGGAAACTGCCCACCAAGAGCTAGTAATTTTTTTCTAACATTTTAAGCCACGGTGTAAACCAGGATATCAACATATCAAATTCATCTAAGTGAAAGGGTTTTTTTTTAAAACTGTCAAAAATTTTCTCAAGTTTAAAATTTTCAGTCTGTTTGGGGGTAATATATGCATGTATCATCATCATCCTACCAAATTCCTGCAGCATGAAAAAAGTACTGATTATGCAGCTGGGCTTTTTTCACTGGCTCTGCAAAGGTACTTGGTAAGAGTCACTGGAGACACACATTTGGATTGCTACATTTCTGAAGGCATTCTGCAGCCCAAGGATGTTTCCACACCATGGCACATGGAGAACATTCCAGAAAACCTGAGCAAACAGACTAGAGTATAAGGGAACATTACAAAATGATTCCAGTGTTTGGGGAAAATTTTTGTAATAACCTAAATACCAGCAAAATTATTTCCAGAGGACATGTGCTTCTAGTTTCTTGAAAGATGTTTATAATAAGCTAGAGAATTTCTTTTGTTGTTAATGTGCTAGAGTGGGTTGGAGTATAATTTTACAAGAATAAAATAACCTGGATAAAATATGGACATAATCTCAATGAAAATTTAAAAGAAAAAAACCTAATATCACATTCAAAACCACAGCATTGAGTAAAGCCTTTTAAAAATTCTGCTGAATTTATAAAGTTTTGCTTTAGCCAGAATAACAATTTCGTGCTCCCCCGTTGCAAAAATATTCCCCATCAGTGTCATTCTCTATTAGCATCAATAAGAAATGCGTACAGATCAAAGGAAATAAAGATGCTGAAATGCAAAAAGGGATTTTTTTTATGGCATACAAGAAACACAAAGAGTCATTAAGAAGACAAATATTTTAGGGGCCTACAGATTCTGCTCTCGAAGGACTGTTCAGCTGTAGCCATAAGTGCTTAGTTTAGTTGGTAGAAACACAACTTACACTTCCTCAACCAAATTTTCTGGTAAGCTTTCCACTGCCTCCTAGAGATTAACTGGGGTGGCCCAGGAGTTTCAACCTTAGAATATCAACTGAACAAAAGAGTTTTAGGGCCGTTTCAAGGCTTCACTTATTGCCCATTGCAGAATACTTACTAGCTCTGCGTGACTTCTAAAGCAGCACGATTTCAGTGACCATAGCTAGTCTGTTTAGGAGGCACTTCCCATAGAGCTCACACAGCATAGACAGCAGTGTTCATCTCCACAGGGATCACTGGACCTGGACCCACATGGCTGCAGAGATTTTTATGAAGCATCCTTCATAAGCATGACGGTGACAAAGCACTGGAACAGGCTGCCCAGAGAGGTTGTGGAGTCTCCTTCTTTGGAGATCTTTAAAACCCACTTGGACGCAGCCCTGTGCCACGTGCTCTAGGTGACCCTGTGCGAGCAGGGGGGTTGGACTGGATGACCTCTGAGGTCCCTTCCAACCTTCGGCATTCTATGATTCTATGATCCTTCATAAATTATTACAGACCTTGTTCCCAATGACAGAAACTTTCCTACAGAGTGAAAAATAGACATCTTAGGGGAAAGAAACTGCCCTTCTACTCTTTTCTATGGTAGTGCCACCAATAATCACACTTCCTACTCCATTTTTTCTCTAATATCATATTTCTCAGCCTTAGCAGACAGAACATGATGTTGCTTATGAAAAGAGATATGCAGAGGAAAAAGATAGGATTTCCCTTAGTCTGCAGGCACTGTGTGGTTTCTTCCCATCTGTGCAGAGGGAAGCAATGGTCTGTCCCTTTGGCCAAAGCCCATCCAGGTGGCCTGGACAGTCCTGTTTAGACACTTTTTGCTTCTGCAAGCACTCAGGTGGTGACACAGGATGCTCCTGAGCTCTGCCATCTGGACAGTATCAGCACTTTTCCTGTGGAGCCCTTTACAGAGAACAAAACAGGATGTTTCTCAAATATGAAATGAAAAAGACTGAAGATCTCTTTGGCCTGTGCAAGAGAAAGGAACAGAAAACGGGATAGCCCTGGTAGGTGCCTGCCAAGAGAGAGTGACCTGGTGGCATTAGGCCACAGTTGCACGTTCTGCACTATGAAGTAACCTGGAGAGAAGAGCAATTCCTAGTGGCTGGATCAAACAAACATCACCACCACCTTTTGTCTCTGCACCTTCCCAGCTGGCTTTCCCTGCATCCATAGTATGGATTGCACGCACCAGTACAGTGTGGTCCTCCTATAGATGTCAAAGAGTCATGTATTGGTCACCAGTCCAGGAAATATCTGCATACAAAGCACGGTTTTATTCTTGCTGACCTAGTGCATTCACCCACAAGCCAAGCACATGCCTTCTATTGAGGGTACAGATTCAGTTTGAGTGCTTCTGCAGGAAACGTTAGTTTAATATCAATATTATATTAACTAAGAAATTTATTGGGATGTGTATCTCTAAAACCCAGAAAACTCAGAGATGACAATGCACTTTGGACTAAAAACATTTTTCTATATTTGGACACTTGTTAAGTTCTTTCTGCCTTATATCCTGAGCAACTTCCCCAAAATGTGATCATGTATACCCTGAATTCCATGACCAAAGTCTGCAGCACAAGTTGCTAAAATAGTAATATCAAACCAAACTGAGAATTACTTTCTGGATCAACAAGAATTTAGGGTAAAACACCCTTTTTCCCAAAAAAAAACCTAGAATTTCACATTCATTTCTGTCATCTTTATGATAACTGATGAGAACATGAAAGTGAGTGCAACAACACATAGGAGAAAGCTGGCATCAGGTGCTTTTCCAGACAACTTGAAATTCTGAGGCTATTAAATGCCTGTTTAATTTCTTATTATCCAAATTATGAATTTGAATAAGAGTGACCTTAGTTAAAAGTTTATAAACTCTCAATTTGGCAGCGTTCACAATAAACATCCTTGAGGCCTCCTAGAAATTACCCAGCTAATCTTGGGAAGAGTCTAATTGACACTTCTGGTAATTTTGACACAAACATCAGAGTCATTTTCATTAAAATACAACCCTTAAAAGTCTTCTCTAGCACCTTATACATGACACAAAGTCTAGTTTTTCAAGAAGGGTGTCATAGCCATAGGAATCTCAGTGACCTCCTATGGAGAGCCAGGGTGGGAAGAGGGGTGAACAGCCAGTCACTCGCTGTCTTCCTTGTCTGTATCAGTCCCACCTATTAGTTATTTAAGTTATGCTATTGTTCCAAAAAGGAGGTGGTGGCAGGATTCCAGGTCTACATTGCCAAAATATTATCCAGTCCAAATGAGAGATAAAATCGTGGAATTAGTTTTCTTTCCCTGCCTATTTAAAAACCTGGTTTTGGACAAACAATCAAAATTAAATTAAACATACGGCTGATAAATGAAGTATAGAAGAACAGCTGAAAAAGGCAGGACGCCATAGGTACTTGAAAGTTGTGTTGGCTTCCATGCCCTATTATTACACAGCCTTTGCTGAAAACTGTATACCCTTCACAATTTTGAACCTCCTGTGTGTTTCCTCATATTTTCAATCAAATTATTACATACTAGAAATATGCATAAGGGAAATTATTCTACACATTTTATGGTGTGCTGTTGCTTGTAGCAGTAATTGAAGTACCTTTTCCACTTATGAAAGTACTAATTTTATTTGGTTTTATTGCTTTTCTAGATGCAATTATTTATTTAGTGTGTTTCGCCTTTATTAAATTATGTTTACTATAGGAACATCATAAAAATGTATGAAAGCAACACATCAGCCACTACTGCCCAATGACCTGTTTTGGGGAATCTAGTGTTATTTTTCATATCCAAACATAATAGAATAAAGTAAGAATAAAGAGATAATCTACGCTGAAAAACAATGCAATTTTGAGATAATATAATAAAACACCTGGACAATATGATTTCATAAATCTTAGTTCTAAAATTTACATGAGCTGGGCGTTGGGGCGACTATTTTAGGACATGCAGTATTTTCTAAATGGAAACATAACACAAAACACAATTAAACAGCAAAGGGGAAAGCATACACAGATTTAGTTTGCCCTGAGCACCAGGATTTCTATATAGCAATGAAAATATTTCACAAGATGTACTGGCCTGGTTTTAGTAAACGTAGAGTTTTGTGCTGGTAGTGACCAAGAGCTCATTTGTGAAGTTTTGAGGGATTTGTTCTTTTCATGTCTAGCATATCGTTCTGGTTTGAGGGTCTGAATTGACTCCAACTGAACTGACTCCAGCAAAACTCCCACAGGCTCCATATAAAGAATACATTTGCTATTATGCATTGTGAATAAAATCCTGAATTATTTTGTTCAACCTCTTCTTAGCTTTATATTTCATACTACCTACCAGATCGATGAGCACAGATAACGGTGAAATCTCAAAAAGAGCCCTTAACAAATCTAAAAAGGCAAAAGCAAGTTAAATGCCTAGAAACTGAGGGTGGAAAGGTCAGGCTAGAAAGAAGAGAGAAAAGCTTAATTAAGCAGTTAATGAAGAGGTTTTTTTTTTTTCTAACTCCTTATTCCAAAGCCGAGGCGGGACAGAAGCTTTTTTGAACATTGCATTTTAGCTCAGTCTGAACATATAAGAAAAGGAATATGTGTGACTTTGTGTTACAGATAAAGTCAGGTTGTGTGATCCACAGCAAGTCTTTTTACATCCTAAGGTTAAAGGATTTCTGGAAAACATGAAACTTTTGTTTAGTCAGCATTGGAGAATTTGATGGAAAATGAGGATCAGATGCTGAAATCAAATGGGATGACCCATGCAAACAGGGAAGAGTTTGTGAACAATCAAAACCAAGGAGTACAATTTTGCAGGCACCTAGCTCTGAATAGGGCCTTACTCACATGTACAGATTAAACGCCTTCAGCAGTAGCACCTGCATCAGCAGCTGCAGAAAGTCCTTCAGGATCAGAAGAAAAAAAGAGATGAAATTCATGCTTGAAAAGTGTAAACTGATCCACCCAGAGGGAAACAATCTGAAATGCAGATTGTGAGCAACTGTTATGGCAAAATGAAAAGATTCCAGAACAGTGCAAAAGATGGGAAGCAGTGGAGCCCAGGGACCAATTTCAGAGGATATTAGGTGCTTATCTTTTTAGCCAGAAGACAACATAGTAATTATTCAAACAAGAATCATTTATGTTAAATTAGAAAGGCATAAATAGCAGTAAATGGAACAAAATTACATAAGGAAAACCCTTGGTGTTGGAAAATATTGTCATTTTCTTCGTGATAAAACTTAAGTACTTTATAGAAGTCTTCTTTTAGCTCATAAACTGAGTCAGTTTTAAATTCATGACTTGAAACAATCTTTCTTGAGCATTGAGAGATTGGTCTCAGAGACACAACCTTTCCAGTAAGGTGTAGTCTTATGACTGTAGCAAATTCTATGGCTAAGAAGTTTTAAGTGGATCCTTTTTAGGCTTAAATGTGAGGACCCAAACCATATTCAGATAGGCACCCAAGTAGATAAGAGAACAAATTTCCCAGTTTTTCTGCTGCACAGAGCATTAGTATTTCACCCTTCTCCAGGGAGCAAAGACTTTAAGCTTCAGATAAAGTGAAATAGATTTCAAATCCTAGGGCTCCACACACAACTCTGAAGAAACTCAGCTGTTAGAAGTGGGTTTGACACTAACTACTGATTCCAGCTGCACACACAGAGGAACATAATTCAGGACCTTTCCTCCTCTAAGCTACAGCCCGAGTCTGGATGAGGCCCCAAACAGCAGGAGCTTGCAACGCCTGGCATATCTTCCTTGACCCACATGCAATTTGCTCAGTAAATCCCCTTGGTAATGTCTCTGTTAGGTATAGTTTTAATACTAAAACTCATCCAGCACAATACAATGAGATGGTTCCAGTCACAGGGCTCTTTTTCTGAAGTCAGCAAGCCAGACAAAAAGTCATGAAATCTCACAGAGCTGAAAGTAGCTCAGCTACCCCTGTTTCTGCCTTGTTCTGCACATCCCTAACACACTTTCTGGTGCTGCTATGAAATATAAAGTGCAGTACTGTGAGTGGGTGTGATTAAGGATGTGACTGTTCCAAGGTTTACACTTGAGAAGCAAATCTGGCGTAGATGTTTTAAACTGTGAGATCTGCAATAACTAAAATTATATTGGGAAATTTGGGATTAAATTAGGAGCTGAACATTCTGCTAATGTACTTCTTTCAAAACTGTAACATGTTAATTGGCAAATTAAAACTTCCAATGCATAATTTTGAAAAAAGAGAAAAAAACAGAAGTTAAAACCCTTCTATTGTTTTTCTTTATTTCACCTATGAACCAAATCTAATACAGGGTGGCCAATTAATACTAGAGAAGAACTATTAAGTATGAGAGAAAAAAATAAAGACTACTCTACAGCATATGTAACGTGTTTTACAATCAGGGACAAAAACTTCATAACTGTAATTTGTTGGTTCTCTTTCCTAGCCAAAAATCACAGAGGAGAACTTAACATATGCTGAACTTGAACTTATGAAGCCGATCCAGGAAGCCAAAGGCATTCCCAGTACGACAGTCTATGCACAGATACTCTTCGAGGAGAACAAGCTGTAATAGTTCATGCCTGTATAAATGTCCTTTGTCTGTGTTCTATTTAATTCTTGCTGTGCTGTTTATTTATAAAAAACATACAAATGTCCTTATTTTTTTACCTCCATTCACATGCTTCTATATTTTTATGAGCCTTCTAAACAAAGTGCCATTGAAAATAATCATAGAAAAAGCAGCTGGTCTACAACTGACATACCAGAGAAAACCAAAGTTTGGTTTTCATATTTTCATTCCACATTTCCCCTTCTAAATGCCATTGTTTTTAAAACCTACATTACTTATATTAAGTGTTTGACATCAAATATTTTAAAATAATCCAAGGGAAACATGCAAATTTAAACTAAAAGGATTGTAGAAAGAATATTTAAAGCTTTTTTGGAGGGGAAAAAAAGATCGTTAATAGAAAAAATTGGTAGTGATGAAAAAGTTTCCCCAGAATACGGACACTGTTCTTGGCCTTGCTTGAGATTGGAAGTAATTTCATTTATTCAAAATGTAATTTATCCAAAAGTCAGACCAGTCACTAATCAGAAGCTACTGAGGATTTTGAAGTAGCCTTTGTAGGGCTGGGGCTTTGAAAATCCAAACCAAGGTGACCCAGGTTGCTTCCTCTGTATCTGTTGGGTTGTTCTAGGGATGGGGCAAAGGGCAGCAGGGCGCAGTTCACAGTTGGGACCCATCACAGGAATACGTAGTGTCCTGAGCTCCAGTAGAGGAGACAGCAGACAGCTGTAACGAAGGACATGGAACAGTCCATCCATGCAATCCATGCAAAACCAGTTCAACAGTTAAATCTAGTTAAACCTTCCAAAATAAAAATACAACTCTAATACATTAAACAGGTCACTATTACATTGAGCTGGTCACTTAGTTGTGAGGACTTTCTCAAGTTTGGCATATAATCATTCCTTCAAAAAATAATTGGGCATTTTGTCCTTTGTTTAGAAAATTTCTCTACTGTATATGTATGCCCAGTATTTTAATGAATACCCTTATTTCTGTATTAATAGACTATGTATTCTTGTTTATGTTTGATATCTAACCCCTCCCCGCATAATAAATAGAGCTAAATAAATTATCTTTTTAGTGAGGGAAGTCCTCTCAGTTTGTCAAGGATTTACTGCTTGCTAGAAGATTATATGAGAATATATATTAATCTCCTAATAAGCACTTAAATGAACCAACAAAGTGGGAATTGATTTCTCCATTCTGCAGAAAATTCCATGTTTTTAAAATGTCTTCTGATTGTGATTAACATCAGGCAACAACATAATCCTGAAAGGCAAGAGAACAGCTGAGTGAAAGGAGGCCAGAATTACTGCTTAGGCCAGAACTACTACTACATCTTCCTGATCCTTCCTTATGCTGTGTCCACCCAGATTTAATAATTCCAGATCCCATTATTAAAGGAAAAAAATCTCTATGTTTTCCTCTTTGATGAGCTATACATCTTTAAGTACCAGAGCAACTCATTGCAAAGACTACAAAGAAAATACCATTCAATATACAACGTGCTTTAGACGACAGAATACTTAGGGTCTAGTACCTTTGACTAGGAAAACACAGCTTCATCTAGGTCCTGAATGTGGCTCGCTGTTCTCTTATGACAGAAATTCCCACGAAGGCTCCCAATATCTTATTAAGCAGCACTTACGAGTCTGCAGAGTCATGTCATCTTGGTTACTCCTTCTGTTGCCATGGGTAAACTGTGGCCTAGTGCTGAAATTTTAACAAAGGCAGCCCTATTAGCTTCACATTTATTTACTGTCAGATTGTTAAATGCTAATATACTATATTCTGTAGCATTAAATAGTGCTAGAGATGTTTATAGCTTTGGTTAGATGCACCTTGTTCCTGCACATTAAATTTTATTACCAGAATCCTCCATCAGCAAGTAGGACTAAATTGCATTAGTGTTGCCAGCTTTGTGGGGGGTTCATTCTGCAGTCCAAGAAAGGGGTGTTTTATTACCCTTTACTACAACTCTGTAATTTCTAAGTGTGGTTGGAATGTCATTTTCTCTGTACTTACAAGCAAACTATTTCTTTTAGAAAAACTATAACATAATTATGGGGTTCTCTTCATTAAGAAGTTTAAACAACTTGTGTTCTTAGGGTTTGGCCAAGTTCTAGCACAATGGGACTCACACCAGAGGTGTGTCTCATTTGATGTACAATTTTATAGGCCAAATTTTGCTTTCTTGAGGATTTCTCTGAAATATTTCCAACAAGTAACATTGTAGCAAGTGTATTGCATGTTTCTTGCACTCACCTGGTGTGTTTTGATCCACAAGTGACAACTCCATTTCATCTGCTTGGTTGGGAGCTAGAGTGATGACTCTATGTCCATGCAAGTTTTAATCTCAGAAAAATCCATCTTCACCTCTCAGAAAAAGAGGAAATGGAGATGAAGGGATTGAGATATTAGCTAGTCCATCACCTCACCTCAAGGTTGAACTAACTAGGTCTGAGTTAACATGACTCAGGTCTGGCACAGATTGGTCTAACCTGCTCTTAGAAACCTGCAGTTCTAGCTCCTTCCCAAGATCTACTTCTACAGCTTTCATTATTCAAAATGTCAAAAGACATTTCCCTTTCCTCTTGACAGCCTTTTTCATGTTTGAAAACTGTTAAATCTAGTGATGGGAAAACTAAAGAGAGAATTAGCCTCAATTCTCATTCTTCTTATAAAGATCAAATGACTTCTGATAATACTTTCTTGGAAATACTTACAAGTTAATCCAGAGAAAATGGATCCCATCCCCATCGGGGAATGAAAAGGGTGGCAGTTAATTTCCCAGCTCCAGCTTGGAGTCCAATCCAAACTGGGGGAAAGCCTGCTAAGTCACCCGCACAAAACAGGCTATAGCTTCAAGTTCTGGCTCAAACATCTCCTCCCTGTCTGCCTCAGCCCTGGCAGCTGTTGTGTAATCCAGCACTTCTGCTGAGCAGCTAAATGCTGAAGCAGTGGCTCTAACGACTGCAAAGCAACAGATTGGACAAAAATCCTATCTGTCCTACCACTGTATTAGGCATACCATCACCATACCAGATAATAATTATCTTATTATTATACAAAAGCAGCTAACAAGCTTGTACTATCTCTCTTGGATTTCAGTTAAAAATAAGTTTAAATCCTATCTATTTTGTCTACATTTTATTGTAAATAAGGGAATGAAAGCTAAGAACCCTAAGATTGATTTAGGACCCTTTATACCGAGAACCCAGTAGGACAGGACCAAATTTGGTGGGTTTGCCTTCCTCTTCKGAGCTGGCACGGCCTTAGGCACAGTTCAGAGCAGGTACAGTCAATAGATACCTACAGTATCACATAACAGCCTCACACCTTCCCTTGAGAAATTAGCTGCTAATCCTGTTGAGTTACCCTCAGGAAAGAGGAGGGTTCCAGTAACTTTCCTGGCTGCTAACAGGTCTCTCCCGATATTGGGGTGAGACACAGCACGGAATAGGGCATTACATAAATATACTGTGTAGTTAAACATGGGGATTGGCGAGGCAATTGGACTCCCATGCCATACAAGCAGATAAGGATGCTGCTGGCTGAGGCTCAGCTGTTCTATACCATTTCCCCAGTTCAAGCTCTTCCTGCTATGAAGAGAAGCTAGAAGAGATATTTTACAGCACCCTATGCCAAAGGAGTTTTTACCCAGCCAGCTAAGCAGGTTTACAACTCTTATCCCCTACAGTAGTCCTTCAGATCCCTCATACAGAAACAGCAACATTCAGCTCTTTAGCCCCTTCTTCCTTGCTTACTCTCTAAGAGCAGTCAGAAACACAAGAGCTCTGTTCTGCCAGGGAACTAACTCAAAAGCCAGAATGAGTAAATCACTGTGCACATGATGATGGCAAATGGCAAAGGCCACTTCTATGTATCACTATAAAAAATAACATTAATTGGGATGCTTTGCAATTTCCTGTACAACCCATAATTAAGTTAGATAAGAAACTAGCAGTGTCTAAGTGCTATAAATGTCTAAATTAAGTTATTTTGAAAGTGCCTGGCACTTTGACATTTGAGAGTTCAGAGTAATTGGGGTATTGAAATAAAATTGCTTCTGTTATTTAAAAGGTCATTATCTTCTTCGGGTAGATATATGAGGACTATTTTCCACTCTACTGATCCGTTCTATTTGGCACAATTAGACCTGCTTGAGTAGATTTCGAGCAGGCCGCCTCCCACTCATCACAGTCCCAGCACTGCCTCAGAGAAGGGCCTGTAAATATACAGCCCAAACACGGAGAATATATTCTGCTCATAATGGGGCACTGGAGAGCTGAGAGTTGCCCAGAGCTTCAACCAGACACCCCCAATAAACACCACACTGCGATATCTAGCAAGGCTACAACTGAGTCCTTAAACCACTCTGGTCAATAAATGTGAGGCTAGGGGCACAGGTCCGTGTGCTAGGCAGGCAGACAGCACTGACCAAAGCTCTGGAGCAAATCAGCATTTCACCTTCCTCACTAAATGACCCACAGCCTGGGTAGCATCTCTGGTTATTTCAATAGCACCACTGAAACCCCTTGCCCCACGCCATAATACAGACAGGACCATTGCTTACTTACCAGATCTTCTGCTCTGAGACACTCCCAGTTGACAACTTGGATAAAAGGCAGTCAAGATGGAGTTATTTCAGTTAGTCCTTCATTGCCAGTAAAATAAGAAGGAGCACAAAGACCTAGAAACCAGCTGAGGAAATTTAACCCATAACCATCACATCCTCCTATCAGGGAGACTGTGGAGACCGTGCACACGAGTGGCCAAAGAGCATTCTCATTATTCTATTCTAGGGGCTTCTTGGGGTGAAGGAAGAAGGGAGACAACTGCAAACACCTTTGCAGAGCTACTTTTAGCTGTGGCACCTGTTACTGCTGTTGCCACCATCTGTGATGCCGTGAGAGCACATCTTGCAGCCTGAGCAGCAGCAAGGCTGGTCCACACAGTCCTAGAGCCTCAACTGGAGGCTAGAGGAGAAAGAAACAGTGCAGTCTGGCCTTTGGTGCCCACAATGAGCACCAAACAAAACTTAGTGCAGCAGATTTCTAGGAACATCCTGAAGCTTGGGAAGAGCTCTGATGACCTGTCATTTATAGCCAAAAGCACAGGGAAAGCAGCCAGCCCTTTAACAGCTCTGTACCCTTTCAGATCTCCCCCTGAGCTGCCTGACCTCAGTGACAGTAATTACAGTGTGCACATGCCTGCAGACTGACAATGATAAGGCAGAAATTAGCCCAAGCCCTGCGTGGTGCGTGGCTGAGTGTGTGCAACCAAATCACGCCAGTTATCCGGCTCAGCGCTGCTTTCAGGCAGACCAGAGAGCTGTGGCAGAGCACAAAGCAACAGGTCCCACCATCCAAGACTTGCAGTCTTCTCAGCAATGGCATTTAGAGCTACCAAGATCTAGCTCATTAGGCTATGAGTCCCAGACAGGAGGAGGAGAAAAAAAAAAAAAAAAAAAAAGTCTTTCTAGGTTTTCCTAGCTCATTGTTTTCCAAAAGGCATGAGCGTGGATAAGCAACTGACCCAAAAGGCAAAGAATATCTTGCAGGACTAGGGAGACAGCCTGGAAAGCACTGTTCACTTCTCCCCACCATGCCCTACAAAATCTTTCTGCTCCAAGTTTCCTCTAGTCCTTCCTGCTGTCAGAGTTCTGATAAGTTGGGATTAGAATGACAGTACCTCTGTTTTTGAGGTCTTCAAGGTCCCTGTGTTTCACTCATTTCTCAAGACCCCTGCGAAGAGCCTAAAGAACAAACACAGTTTGCCAAGAGCAGGCTGGATCAACACCCCTGAAAACCTGGCTCTTCCTGTGACTGACTACCAAGCAAGAAGAGGCAAGAGTGCCAGAATCAGGTCCAGGACTTTTCTGGGCTCCTCTCTGAATTCTCTTGGCACATTTCTCATCAGAGATGACAAGCAGGCTACATTTTCATAAAGAAGGGTGCACGTCCTTACTAATGGTTTTAGCTAACAAAAGCTTCAGATACTTCCTCTGTGACAGC